CTGAAAGATAGGTGGGGCTTCAGCAACATTCGCTCTGTAAGACACACAGATATTTCCGCCCACTTTTTTGGGGGGAGGGAGGGGGAATGCATCTTATAGTGCAAAAAATACAGTACATATGGCTAAGTTCACAATTTGGAGACCTTCTCCACTACTTTGGGACCACCAGGTTCAAACACTTCCTAGATAATACAGATAGTCTTTGATTTACAACCTCAATTGAGCCCAAATTTCCACTGCTAAGCAAGACAGTTGTTAAGTGAGTTTTGGCTGCCCTACTGGCCATGAACTTTCGAGGCATCACTGATTCTATGCCCCACCCCCCAAAAGGCAACTTCATTACATCTGATGCATTCCACCACCAACCCTGCCAAAGTATCAAGTGTAGCCCCCTATGCAACAGGGCGGATTAATATTATATCAGTTCTCCCCCATCTGATTTCTAGAGCCCAACAGGGTCTGAGATCTGTTATCCACTGAACAGAACTTCTGAAAGTCACCAGTCTCCTGGTTTACTGGCCACTCCTGCCCTGTAGTCAGTCACTGCCCAACTACAGTAGTCACATTACCAACAAGGGAGCCCTCCCTTAATCCAGGCTCAACTAAATATTGGTGATAACATGGTTTGATCAATTGATGAACTTCTACCACCTGGGCCAGTGGCAGTCAAATAACTATCCTGTGGATATTTTGAATCCTTCATTATATACTCCTTAAATTTATTCCCAACATTTCCTCCAGGATCTCAAAGCTTGGGATAATAGCATTTCTCCCTCTAGGTTAACCTTTCCCAACTTGGCACCTTCAAAATGGGTAGACGTCAATTTCCAGGAATTCTCCAGCCTAGAAATCCACACATCTCAAAAGATGTTGTGTTTACCACACAACCACCACCCTGTAAGACACAGTTAACGGAGAGACAGCAAGATAACTTCATCCAATAGATAACTTCATCCAATAGATAACTTCATCCAATGAAGTTTCATGGCAAACTTAAGACTTGATCCAACCCAACACCTCAATTATTCTATGTTGATTCACAATTGCCATAATCCCCGATTATTGGTCTTGCTGAGATTGAGTTGCAACCCCAAAGAAGGGGAAGATACTGGAGTGCCTATCCCAGATCTGATGTACTGATTCATGTAATAGGAGAACCCAAAGGTGCTTTTTCAAGAGACAACTGGACTTTTTGTTTTTTTCTTTGAAGACATTTTGCTTCCCAACCAAGAAGCTTCTTCAGTTCTGACTGGATGGTGGGGAATGGAAGGATTTATATTCCTTGCAGACAGCTGGTCATTTGCAGTCTTTTAGCAATTTGTTAAGGCCACCTGGAGGTTTATCTGTGTCCTCAGGGTCACCTGAGTAGTGCAAATGGGTGTGGAGTCTTCTTGAAACTGCTGAAAATACAACTGTGTTGTACTGTAGACTGGAAATAGATGATATTGTAACCCTTTGCACCCCTCAGGTGACCCTGAGGACATAGATAAATCTCCAGGTGGTCTTAACGACTGGCTAAAATAATGCAAATGACCAGCTGCCTGCAAAGAGTATAAATCCTTCTATTTCCCCACCATCCAGGCAGAGCTGAAGAAGCTTCTTGGATGAGAAGCAAAACATCGTTAAAGAAAAACCAGAAAGTCCAGTTGCCTCTTGAAAAAGCACCTTTGGGACAACTAGGACTGGATGACTGAGAATCTCCATAAATGTAATAGAAGTTTAGCATTTTAAATATATGGGATGGGACAACTCCTGAAAAGTGGAATAGATTGAATAGATTCTAGAGATCATTTGCTTGCTTTTTAGATGACAGACCATCAACAACTTTTCTGAGAGGCTGGAACTAGCTTCACATCTCCAATTGTTAAAAAATGGTCACAAGATACCTCCAAATAGCCCTTATGATAGATTTTTAAAGGCAAACTGCTTAACAGCCCAATTCTAGAACAAACTACCCTTAAGATGACCACATCCATATCCTTTCTCCTTGCAGAAGCCCCAACTACGTATTCCCCCATTGGATGGCTAAATCCTGAAAGAGGGGCCCTCCACCTTGTTGAATTAATTCCATAATTGCTAGAAGTCCTCCCTTCCTCTCCTCACTGGAGATAAAAGGGGAATGGCTTCAGAGAAATCAGAAGGAATGGATCTATGGACCCTTGCTGCCACCTACTGGTTGCCATGCAAAAAGCATCCCGCCAAGGATGGGGCCTTTTGCAGCCATAGAACCTGCCTGTGTCCAAAGTGGGGGCTCTGGGATGACTGGAAAAACCTATTTTGAGAGTGGTAAACTTTCCTTTAACTTAAAATTTCTCATGCCAGGCCTTTTATCTTCAGTCAGGGCCAGGCTTCCTTTTTTGCAGCCCCAGACTGCTGTCAAAGCATTCCTGTTTAGAGTGGAAAAGGGCCAAATGTTTTATTCTAGATTGGGCTTGCAGGGAGGGGTAGAAAGCCCCGTGGAGGCTCTGTGCAAAGATCTGGTTTCTAATTAAATCTGTTGCTGGTGAGGGGACATGGCGGTCTAGTGGTTAAGGCGCTGGGCTTGCTGACCAGGTTAGCAGTTTGAGACGCAAGCACTGCGTGGCGGGTTAAGCTCCCGTTCTTGCCCCAGCTCCTGCCAACCTAGCAGTTAAAAGGCATGCCAATGCAAGTAGATAAATAGGTACCATTTTGGCAGGAAGGTAACAGCATCCTGTGTGCCTCGGTGTACAGTAATGCCGGCCACATGACCATGGAAGCATCTTCAGACAACGTTGGCTCCTTGGCTAGGAAACAAGAGATAACCACTGTCCTCCTAGAGTCGAACATGATTGGACAGGGAAAACCTTTACACCTTTAATGGTTGCTGTTAATGATCTGGGTAAGGCTGGGAGGGAAGACCACAAAAAATAGAGGAGCCATTTCCCATTTTCTATCTATTAAGTTGCGGACAGGGGATTGTGGACTCTGCCCCAAAAGCCTTCTGCCCAAGGGTGGAAAACAGTGACCTGAACCAATCGAGGTTAGACTCTGCTTACTGTTTGTCTCGGCTTGTCCGCCTTCTCCCTTAACGCTGCTGCGGTCCAACGGTGCCCTCCGATGACCAGCGCTGCTGGGTGGGTGCTTTGTTGGCAAGGCAGGCCTTTACAAGGTACAAGCCCACTTTTGTAACAGGTCCTCCTCTTGCAGGCATAGCTTGAAACAACCCAAACGGACACAAAGAGGTGTGGAACAGACAACCACAGCAGCATCCATCAGATTTGTACAGGTAGTCCTTGACTTACAGCCATTCGTTTAGTTACTGTTCAAAGTCACAACGGCCCCGATCAAAAAGTGACTTATGACCATTTTTTCACATTTACAACCAGTGCAGCGTCCCCCGTGGTCATGTGATCAAAATTCAGGTGCTGGCTCATACTTATGACGGTTGCCGTGTCCCGGGGTCAGGCGATCCCCTTTTGCGACCTTCTGACAAGCAAAGTCCACAGGGAAGCTGGCTCCACTGAACGAACGTGTTAACTAACTTAACCACCACACCGATTCACATGAACAACAGTGGCAAGGAAGGTTGCAAACTGGGGGCAACGCTCACTTAGCAGCTTTCTTGCTTAGCCACAAAACATTTGGGGGTCAAATTGCGGTCGTAAGTCAAGGACCACTCGCACGGAACAACTGAATGGCTTCCGACGCGATGAGAGATGGGACTTTTCATTTGCAGAGGGTAACAAAAGAGCCCTTTGGGGGAAGGACAAGCCCAAGACTTCACAGACCCGAAAAATGCTGATTTCTTAGAAAGAACCAGGAAGTGAACTGGCCACTGCTTACTTCTTCCAAGATTTCTTTCCACATCTTAAGTTTGTCAACCGCTCTAGTTACTTCCCAGGTTTTCCCCACTCTTCTTATTTTTTTGTTTTTGTTTTTGAGAGCCCCCTGACCCCCTCCCCCAAATATTCCATCGCACAAGAAGCGCCTTTTGCTTCGTCTCATCTTCTTCTCCTGAAGGCACAAACCCAGATGCATCACAGGCTAGAGCTGAAATGTCCATTTATTTTTAACAGCAGTAATAATTTAAAATTATAAAAACCCCTTTCTCGGTATCGACTTGCCAAAAAGGGCGGTGTTAGTAACAGGGGAGGGTGGGAGCGGGAGGGAGGGAGGGAGGAAGAATCTGTGCAGAGTCAGGAAGTGGCTCCGATTGTTAAACTCCTCCCCACTGCTCCTCCTCCTCCTCCTCTTCCTCACCCCTCCCCCCCCCCCCCCCGCCTTTGTTGCTGGTGCCTAAGGGAAGGGGCCTCCTGAGCTCCTCCAGCAGCAGAAAATCCAGAGAGGAAAAGAGGGGAGAGAGGGAAGAAGGATCTCTTATTACATTTCTACTACTTCCGAGGAGGGTCGGTGCTGTCCGTCGGTTCTTAAAGAGTGCTGACGCCAGGATGGGAAGTGAGGGGGGGGGGGGGGGGGGGAGGGAAACAAACACCTGTCAAAATGATATATTTTTTTTAAAAAAAAAAAATAAAGAGAAAGGGATAGACAATCCGGTTTTTTTTTTTTGGAACGCCCCTTCGGAACTCCAGTCTCCCTCAAATCCAGTGCTTGTTCACGTTTCGACTCCCTGCCGCTCGTCACACAGCGCAGCCGGGGGGCCGGGTTTTAAGAGTCTGCACAGCAGCACAAGTTTAGAGAGGAGGCTCTTTCTCCCCCACCACCCATACCCCCTCCCCCCCGCATTGTCCCTTGAGAGAATGCAAGATTGAACACCAAACGTCGGGAGGGGGGGGCAGAGGGGGGGCAGGAGGGAAGAGAGCGGGAAGTCAAGAGGGTCTTAGAGATATGATGGTTGAGGTGGGGGGGGGGAGTGCGTGGAGATTTCCCATTCCCAGCCCCTCCCCACGGCTCTGTGCTGGACACTCCCCACCCCACAGATTTTCCCCCTGGTGGTGGTGGCGTGGGGGAGGGGGGGGGAAGCAAGGGAGGGCTATGACATTAGAAAAAGAGCATGAGAGTGGCGACGGTTTGTTTGGTTGTTTTTTTTTGCTTGCTTTTTTTTTTAAAGATTCATGAGTTGTTTGCGGAGTTTTCGTTACTTGGTGAACTGGAGGAAGAGGAGGAGGAGGAAGATGACGAGGAGGAAGCAAAATTCATTGCGGAGAGTCCAGGTGGGTTTGTGGCTGTGTTCTGCCCGCTTAAACTTTTCCGACACACTGGGCAGGTGTCATGCTGGGGAAGCGGGTGGAGACCAAAAAAAAAAAAGACAGAGAGAGAGAGAGAGAGAGAGAGAGATAGAGAGAGCAAAAATGTTAGAAAACAGGTATTTGGCCCATGTCTCAGTGCTTAAATACAGGCACTCCCTAACTTACGGCCATTCGTTTAGCGAACAGTGCTAAAAAGAGGACTTACAACGGACCCTTGCGCTTACAATAGTTAAAGCATTGCCGTGGCCACGTGATTTCCTTTTGCAACCTGACCAACCAGCTTCCAAGAAGCAAACCAAGGGAGGAAACTGGCAGGAAAGGTTGCCGTTTGCAGTCACGGGATGCCTTGCTTAACAACTGCAACGATTTGCCTAATGACCGCAGCAAAAGAGGCTGTGAAATTGGCTGTGGTCAGCTGACTTAACAACAGCCGTGCTGAATGATGGAGTCTCTGAATCTTATCGTGGCCGTCAAGTCAAAAACTAAAGAGGCCTTGGAGTTCTTCAGGACAAACATGGCACAGGATGGCAATTCTTATAGAGAGCTGCAGACAAGCACTGTCTCCCTGCCTCTGCCCATTAATGCATTGCACTGCCCTGTTCTATAGTGTCCCTTTTGTCCAACATGCCACACAGGGGCCCTGAATCACAGTACAGTGTTACCTCGGCACTCAATTGCTTCAAAACTCGTAAAATTTGGTACTACAAATTTGGCATTTTGATGGGGGAATGTTGTCCCAATACTCGGTGTTTGTTTAGTACTCGATGAGCAGCTACAGGAAGAGAGGGGCAGCTGTGGAGAAGTGACAGGAAGTAGGGCATGCTGGGAAGGTCACAGCAAAAGGAGGGGGTGGCCACCGAGGGTGGACAGGAAGTAGGCCATGCTGGGAAGGTCACAGCAAAAGGAGGGGGTGGCCACCGAGGGTGGACAGGAAGT